ATACTGAAACTTCATCCGACATACTTTGAACATGTTGCAAGGAGGGACCAGTCCTTGGAGAAGGACATTATGCTTGGGAGGGTGGAGGGACAACCCTGGAGAGGAAAACCTTCTATGAGGTAGATTGTTTCAGTGACTGGGATGTTCATGTTAGGTGTGTCAGAGACAATGAGATTGGCACAGGATAGAGCAGCATTTAGGGCTGTTATCTAAAGGATCACTATGAGTCTCAGGCAACTTGATGGCACATAACAACAACAAAAATATCATATTTATTATACCACATTAAGTAAATTATCTCTGACTAATTCTTTGGATCTCATATCTCTAGGTATTCCCCCCCCCCATATTTAAGCATATGTATGTTTATATATGTGAATGTATCTTTCTCCCTTGTACAGATATGTTGCCATCAAGTTCATTCTGATTTATAACAGTCCTATAGGACAGAATACAACTGCCCCATCTATAATCTATGTACAAATAGACTGCTACATCTTACTCTCACAAAACAGATGGATTTAACCACTGTGTCAACAGAGATCCTTTTCACACAGATAACTACCTATATTGCATCTTGACGTACTCTTTTTTTCATTTGTTAATTTATCTTGAAGATACATTTTATAGCAATGTCTTTAAATCGGTCTCATTTTTCTAGGTCATTGCATAGCATTGCATTGTTTGGATGTATGCTAATTTGTGTTGAACGGTTTCTTGAGATACACCTATATCTGCTGTTTGTCTACTGCAAATAAGACTGAGTTAATGTCCTTGTATACCAATTGTTAGAGATTTGTTGCAAGTATAACTGCTGTTGTTGGTTACTGTAGAGTCGGAACTGACCCATAGCTGACCCACAAGTTTTCAGAGGCAGTTAATTGCAAGAGAGAGATATTGATTGCCCATGCTTCTCCCACGGAGCAGCTTGTGGCCTCAAACCATGTGCCATCGGGATTGCAGTGCAGCTTCTTGCCTCTAGGCCACTAGAGTATAGCTGATGGGAAAAAAAAAATCTACAAGTGAGCTTGATGGGTTGGAGTGTCGGGGTTTATTTTACATTTTGGTGACTCTTGTCAAATTGTTCACTGAGAGTGGAGAGCTGGCTGCCTAGTGGCAAGTAACTGCCACTAATCCACCAGCTGCTCCATGAGAGGATGGGCAATCTCTCTCGTGTGATTAACTGACTCTGAAAACCGCAGGAGGGTCAATTCTGACTGGACGGTACACAACAACAGTACTAAAATACCTTTTAAAAGTATTTTTCATTAATTTTCCTACAATAATTAGTTTACGTTGAGTTTCATTCATATACATTGTGCTTTATACAATCTTTCATTTACATTGTTTCATACAACCATTCATATATATTATTTTTATATAATTAAATACCGTTGATCTGTGCCTGTTATTACTCTGTCTTTTCAAGTCCCCATTGAATCTTTGCTATTATTCTTTCTCTGCTCCCTCCCATTCCACCTACTAAACTCTGCTATCCTAGTGATTTCCACTCTTCCCCCTTTTCTGTCCTCTCTCTCTTCTTCTCTTCCTCTTTTGAACATTTTTACACATCCTTCTGTTTCTACAATAATGGTCGTATGCAGTATTTGTCCTTATGAAACTGAATTAATTCACTTATCATAATGGTTTCTCGACTCTCTCATGCTATATAATATTTTACAAAAATATTATTCCTTAGTGGTACATAAGGGAGCTCTGGTGGTTGAGTGGCAAGAAGCTGCGCTGAAGTCCCGAAGATGCACTGGTTCAAGTCCACCAGATGCTCTTCTGGAGAAGGAAGGGCAATCTCCTCCTATGCCAGTTGGATCTGATTTGACACTACACACACAAAAAATAAGAATAAAAAAAAATTAAAACCCTTAGTGCCGCATAGTACTCTGTTGAGTGAATGTACCACAATTTGTCAATCCATTTGTTTGTTGATCGGGCATTTGAGTTGTTTCCATATTCTTGCTTTTGTTAATGATGCTGCTGAAAACATTAGTGTACACATTTCTGTTTCAGTTCTAATTTCTTGGTGTATATTCTTAGCAGTGCAATAGCTGGGCCATATGGGATTTCTTTGTTGCACTTTTTGGTGAAACACCAAATTGCTTTCCAGAATGGTTGTACCATGTTAATCCCACCAGTAGTTCGAATATTTCCACAAGAAATTCCAGTCTCCTGCATCCTCTCCAAAATTTTTTGCTTGCTGTGCTGTGCTGTTAAGCTTTGCTACTGTTACTGGGGTGAGATGCTATCTCATTTTTGTTTTGATTTGCATCTTTCAGATTGCCACTGTATCTGCTGACCATATTAATATCTTCCTTTATGAAAAGTCTTTGCATGTCTTTTGTCGTTTTGTTATTGGATTGTCACTCTCTTACTTGTGGAGGCCTGTAGCGTTCTGTAAACTTTTATTGTGAGACCTTTGTCGGAAATATCATTGCCAAATGTTTTTTCCTAATATGTAGTTTTTTTGTTTATGCTATTGGAAAAAGTTTTTGATGCACATAGGGACTTCATTTTTAAAGGCCCCATTCATCAATTTTGTCCTCTCCTGGTAGTGCATTTCTGGCTATATTTGCAAGCCTATTTTTGTGATAGGCCAAAGTTTTAGAGTTTGGTCTCGTTTTGTCTTTTATTATTCTTGGTTTGAGGCTTTACCCTTAGATCCACCCTGAATTGATTTTATGTATGGTATGAGATGTGGATCTTGTTTCAGTACTTAAAGAATTTTTTGACAGTCACTTTCCTGTAACTGTCAGCTCTGCATTAGCAAACATTTTTTCAATCTGATATTGTAAGGTCTGATTTTGAGAAGGATATTTTATGTTTGATTCACATTTTTCTTTACATATTAACTCGAACTTTTTTTATGTTTATAAGCATTTTGTCAAAAATTCTTTATTTTAGTATTTATCTTAAGACTTTTCTTTAAGCTTATTTGAATACAGAATTGAACCTGGTAGCTATCAGACTCGTAACTTAAGACTAATAAAATAATTCAATTCATTTTAAAAATATAAACAATATTTTATAGCGATAATTATGTGTTAGCACTTTAGAACCACTGACTAGTTTAATTAGGGCCTTCATTTGTCCTCTCATTGAAATTGTTTGTATTCATCTCATATTAATTATCTTTCTGATTACTAGTGTTTACTACAAAACTGTACTTAAGAGACAGTTTCCATCTTTGCACTGACAACACCTCATGCACATACTTATTAAGAAATATTTGATGAATAGATAAATGGGCGATGAATGAATTAGTATATAAATTGTTTTTAGAAAGGAAATGAAACCGGGACAGTTAAGTAATACTAATTGCCGTCAAGTTCATTCTGATTCATAACAGTTCTCAATCTGGTTTCTGGTGCTGTAAATATTTACAGGAATAGATTACCCATCTCATTCTTCCATGGAAAGTGGATTCAAATTGCTGACCTTTCTTAGCAGCACAACACATATCATATACTATGTTACCAGAACTCCTTAGTTAAATCATCAACCCAACAAACTCTACTCAGAGCTGCAAATTCATCTGACCCTTAAATTTTCAGTGATGATAAATGACACTGGAGGAAATGGCTCGTTTTCTCCTGCAGAGCCACTAGTATATTTGAACCTCTAGAGAGGGACCACCTTTTTTTTTTTTTTAAATATAGTAGTGCAATACTGGTGGCCTGTGTCACAATAACTCCTTACTAACAAGTAATTCTGTTGTGTACCGTGGAGTTGGAATCAACCCATGGCTGACCTTCCAAATGGGTTTTCAGAGACAGTAAATTTCAGGGGAGGAGATTGCCCATCTTTCTCCTGTGGAGCAGCTGGTGGATTCAAATCCCATTCTTTTGGGTTGGCAGTCTAGCTCCTTACTGTTAAGGCACCGTAGCTCCCCAGTAAGTGAGGACAGGCAGAAATAAATGGAAAACCACAAATATAGAGCCACGCAGACTTGATAGCCACGTGGCCCCAGTTATTAATTGAATGACACTTGGATCTTAATTTCATTTTAACTCAGTCTTCTGTGAAATAGAAGAAAGAGTATCTATTCTAAGGGTTATTATGAAAATGTAATTTTTAAAAGAATGTAGATTGTACAGATTGTACATTAGTCACCAAAGAATATGTCCAAAATGAGTTTCTTAATAGCAAAGTGTAGCTTTTAAATTGAAGAGATGCAATACTCAAACACTACTTATGGAATGAATATATGCCAGAGGCTTTGTATTTTATTCTAATAAGAGAATCAGCAGGATGACAAAAATAATTACAAAGAATATGAAAAGCTAAAACGAATCTTATCTCTCTTTGCCTGCCTGCCCGTGTCTAATACATACAGAGGGAGGTAAAGAAAGACTAAGTACAGAATAGGTTAATGATTTGTAGGGCAAAACAAATAACCATAAACAACAACAATAAAACTCCAAACAAGCCTTAAAGGTTTTAGAGGTTATTTTTTATGTTGAACAGAATTTATTTGCATATTTATTCGATGAAAATATTTTAAAATTTTTTAATAATCTAAAAGTTATCTTACTTTACAAAGTCTATGCTCTAATAGATAAGAAGGCAATGTTCTTTTTTGTGGGAGCAGCATATAGCCCTTAGTAAGGCTTGCTGTTGATTTCTTAGTATGAATTTAAAAGGAAATGCTATAACCATTTTGCCTTATTTCCAAATTGTTGATAATTTAAAAAATATAATCTTCTATATATTTGAAGCATGAGATGGCATCCACTTCCTGAACAACATGCTTATGGAAACTCTATGAACTTTGATAAATGTCGCTAGTTATAGAAAGTCTTCAGGCCATTTGTTCGTAGGGTTGCTATGAGTCGTGCTTGACTTGAAGGCAGTCAGCAACAACATACATTGAAAGTATTTCAAGCGGCACTTACTTCTATGCCTTACCAATAAACTTTCAAGAAGGTTACTTAGATAACCTGTTGCTTTCGTAAAACATATTAATCTTTCCTTTTCTCTGTTTGTAGGAACTCATTATACAATGACGAATGGAGGCAGCATTAACAGTTCTACACACTTATTGGATCTCTTAGATGAACCAATTCCAGGTGTAGGTACATATGATGATTTCCATACTATTGATTGGGTACGAGAGAAATGTAAAGACAGAGAAAGGCACAGACGGGTAAGTGTGTTGTTAATTTTTTTAAAAAAGCATTTTTTATAATTTGACTATTTAATAACATATTTTTGCCACTAATCTTAGTTTTCCAGAATATGTTATTCATTTAAAAAACTTAAGTACTTTTTTTATTTTTCACATGTAAATTATGTGTTAATATTTGTACCTTTTAAAAAGAAAAGGGTTACACAGTACAGCATTTTCTTACATGCTATGTTTTTTTAAATGAGGATAGAGTTTATTATGTAGATGTACTAGAATTTACTCAGTACTGTCATAATTTCCAGATTTTATTGGGAATACAAATATGGCGATCATTCTTGAACATATGTACATTTGTGCATGTGGCATATGGTAAATTTCAAGCATTTGAAATCAAGTGTTTGTGATGTATCTATATCCCATAGATTGCCAAAAGAACAAATAGATGTATCTTGAAGAAGATGCAGCCAGAATACTCCTTGAAGGCAAAGATGATAAAGGTTCATCTCACATATGTTGGGCATGTTGCTAGGAGAGGTTATTCCTTAGAAAGGGACATCATGCTTGGAAAGGTGGAGGGACAGTGAAGGAGAGGGAGACCCTCAACTTGGATTGACAGAGTGACTGTAGCAGGGGGCTCAAGTGTGTCAGAGGTGATGAGGATTGCACAAGATAGGACAGGGTTCATCAAATCTGTTGTTCATAGAGTCACTATGAGTTGAACCTGACTTGATGGCACCTGAAATCAACAGTGCTTTGCAAACACTGATATAAAGAGAACTTCACAGACTCAAATTGAAGGTGACTTATCCATTAGGACTGTAATTATTGAGAAAAACTACATAGATTTATTGATTATTTTTGAGATAAATATTTTCATTCTTAATAATGCGTTTGCTAGCAGTATCATTCCACATAGAATTTTCTGAGTCTTTTTAATGGAACTTTGTGCTTAAAATAGACTAGATGCTTGAAATAGACCAGGTCATTAAATTTCAGCTGTAGAGTCCTGTGGGACTGACAGTTGAACACTGAAGTTCTAGCTGAGAAAATGTACCTCTTTAATTAAAGCAGCAGTTGTAATGGAACAACAAAGGTTTGGGCTGGTTAGGTACAGGTTTAGAAGTGTGATCTTATGGAGGGAAGTGAGGTTTGCCCTCTTGTATATTTGTGAGTGAAATTTGGAAATCAAGATCAAAACTTCTTGTTAATCTCCTTGGCTCCTTCACTCTATTCTGTAGAAGTTATTGTCTTCTATCTTACGCAGTGATGTAAGAGAGTTTCTGAATCCTTCCAGTAGAATTGGAAACTCTCTATACCTGTACATTTACAGGTATGTAACTTAGAAGTTCCTTTATTCACATGGCTGTCTAATACTGTATTTATTAACATCATGTCTTCAGATCTTTCTGTTACTGTTCTTACTCTTTAAGGATCTTATAATCCAGTAAATTTCTAGCGCAAAGATATGACAAACATTTCAGGTTGGAATATCTGATTTTATTAATACTAGAAATATTTCAGTATATTAGCTAGAGTTAATTGAATTTAACTCATTGAAAAATAGTCTAGATGAGACTTCTTATTGTATGTGGATCCCTAACACTCAAATCCTAGACAATTTCTTGTCAAAAATAGAGATCTCTGGGTAAACACTATAGTTGGATTACAGGTTTAGCAGCTAACTATTGTAGTGATTCTACCCCAAAACTCACCTTCCTCATTATTTAGTTCAGAAAGTACTCTGCTCTGTGGTATTTGGGGGAGAAATTGCTAGATTCTGGAATTGCGACTTCTGTTCATAGTCTGAAAAATGAAGTATTAACATTTCTAATTTCAGATCAACAGCAAAAAGAAAGAATCAGCATGGGAAATGACAAAAAGTTTATATGATGCGTGGTCAGGATGGCTAGTAGTAACATTAACAGGATTGGCTTCAGGTAAAGAATACTTTATAGCAAAATATTTTTAACAGAACAGAACTATTCAGTATAGTTCCCTATAGTATTCAGTACACCTCTCACCACATTTAATTTTTTTTTTAAGGTAGTGTTGGATTTTTAAATTTTATTTTAATATTTCATTATGTCTTAGGTAAAAGTTTACTGATTTCTATACATACTAGATTTTTAATTTTTTTAATATATTTTAATATTATTATTAATGATTTTAATGAAAATTTACAGAGATTTTGGATTTCCATTCACTCATTGTTGCACTTTTATCCCTGCCCACCCTAGTTTGTTCTTCTCTTTGAAAAGTAAAAGTTCTTTCATTGTTATATAATCCTTCCCCCCAAGACCACTCCACTATGTGTTGGATTCTTAAAAACATCTATTTTTTTAAAAAAATATCCTTAAGGGAAAGAACTAGGGTGCAGTAGGTTTCACAATCTAGTAACTTAAAGAATTTCTGAAACTACAGTGATCTTTCTGAGTTTGATTTTTGTGTCTGTAAAATTGTTTGAACCTAATTTAAGAAGTGATTAAGAAAATATTTTTAGTTTTACTATCATGATACCCAAAACCAAATCCAAATGTGTTGAGTGCTTACTGAGTGTCATGCATTGTTCTGAAACCTTTAACTGTTTGCAATTGAGGGAACTGAAACACAGACCTTAAGTAAATTGTTTAAGGTCATATAGAGTAAATGGGCAAGTCGTGATTTGAATTCACGTCATCTAACTCAAGAGCCTGCAGGCTTAACGACTATGATATTCAGAGTGGCCACAAAGTTCCTGTGTGTGATATTTCATGAAAAAGCTGTTGAAGATCTAAAAACCAATAGTAAGGACTGCTTGTGGTGTAGTCTATGGGGAGTTATGCAGCTAACTCAAAGGTAGTGAGTTCAAATCCACCAGTGGCTCTGTGGACAGTATCTTTTTGTGTGGTTTATATTGTTTTGCAGGCTGGTGAGTTGAAACTGATTCATAATTGATTCTCCAGTAGATTTTCAGAGTCATGAAATCACACAGAAGGAGATTGCCCATTTTTATTTTACAGAGCAGTGAGTGAATTCAAACCATGTGCTTCTCAGTTGGCAAGACAGCTCCTTACCATTGGCGTTGTTGATTGCCTTTGAGTTGAGCATGACTCACAGCGACCCTATGAACAAAAGGCCTGAAAGCCCCTTACCATTAGGCCTCTCAAAAACCCACTAGAAAGTTAGCTATGATTTATACCTGACTTGATGACAGTAAGTTGAATTGAGTTTTAATTACTTGCAGATTTTACCATGGAACTTTAAAAATGTGCCTGGAGAATGGAGGAAGTATTGATATCTCTAATTGACATGCATGAGAATTTTGTGGTCACTGCATTACATGATTAATTGATCTTTTTAAAGTGATGAATAAGTATGGACTATGAATTTGTGGTTTTTATAGTCAGAGAAACCAGAATATACTTGTTTTTTTTTTTTTAAATACTTGTGTGCCATCAAATGAGATGGATTTGAACCAGGCACCTTCAGGATTGAGCAGCTTCTTCTTGCCACTAGGCAACCAGAGCTCCCTAAGAGTATAATTGTTGTTGTAGAATCTGACCCAACTCATAGCTCACCCTGCAGTTTTCAGAGGCACAGGAGATTGCCCATCCTCCTGTGGAGCAACTGGTGGCCTCAAATCCAATGCTTTGGGATTTCAGTACAGGTTCTTGCCACTAAGCAACCAGAATTTAAGGAATTTTAGTAGAATTGATATACTTTGTGAATCTGTTGATGAAGTTTTGGACTGAAGTTTCAGTATTAAGTTTAATACTAAATACTTTGGTAACTAGAACTAGCTGTCCAGTAGCTGCCTTTTGAAGAATGTTTTAAGTAATTAAGTAATTTAATTAATGCTTTTGTTGCATTAAAATTAATTTGATTAGTATAACAGACTTCTAATTTCAAACCAAGAATACAGATTTTATTTTAAAGGAAAGCTGTTTATAGTTTTTAAATGTAATATATTTTGTTTCTAACTAAAATTTTGAAATGCAATTAATATAAACTATATTATGCTCTAGTGTCCTAGTGGTAAAGAAATTTGTTGTCAAACCAAAGATACGCGGTTTTAAACCCCTTGCTCCGTAGGAGAATGATGGGCAGTATCCTCTGGAGCACATATTGCTTCTGAAAACTTGTGTCAACTATGAATAGGCTCTGACTTGAAAGCACATATCACAACAACACTTTTGTTCTAGGGAGTCTACTTACTTTTTATGATAATTCTCAGTAGTCCCTCAATCAATGGATACGTTATTTCACTATCTAACATCTTTTTACAGGAGCATTGGCTGGATTAATAGACATTGCTGCTGATTGGATGACTGACCTAAAAGAGGGTATTTGCCTCAGTGCGTTGTGGTACAACCATGAACAGTGTTGTTGGGGATCTAATGAAACAACATTTGAAGAGAGAGATAAATGTCCACAGTGGAAAACATGGGCAGAACTAATCATAGGTCAAGCAGAGGTAAATCTTACTTAGTTTTAGGATAAAATAATAGCTGATATTATAGGATTAACCACATATTATGCTATAGTAAATTTTTCTCAAAATGCGACCTGTTAAGGAATCATGAACTCAAGTTAGAAGGTTATAACCCACCGTAAGGAACAAAAGAAAATTATTGAGATAGCATAAATGAAAATATGAGACTATATTGTAAAAATAGAGGTATATATTATTTTAAGAAGACTGTATTAAGGAACTATGTAAGAATTATGATGCAAAATATATTTTTATAGTAAATTGTGATAAAGAATGGACGCAATTGCAATATCTTTAGAAACAAACAAGTTAATATGAATCTTTAGAAACAAAAAAGTTAGTATGAAGTCAAATTATTGAGATTTTTAAAATATTACACTAAGATTGCTCAGAGAAATCATATTTTTGTTAAAAGTACTTTTTTAAGAAAAAATTATTTATAAACAATTTTGTAAATCACTCAGTAAGTGACGCTTTCTTGATGTTTTGTTTAATTTTTATTTGTGGCATTAGAGCTTTTGAGTGATTGCTTTACTATTCCTGATGTTCCTTAAGTAAGAACATTCTGGAATTTAGGATGAATAAAATCAATGACTGACAAACGTAGATAGATGTCTTCTTAAAGTTTACTTTAGCTGAGTTTAAAACAACATGGAATGTATTTCCTTTTAAGCTGAAAAGAATGATGTTTCTTGCCTGACATATAATTAAATTGCATTTGATTTACTTTTCAGGAGAGTTGCCGCAGAGTAAATCTTGAGTACTTTTTCAATGCAATTATGTGCCCATCAACTGTTTCTAAGTAGCAGTTTGTGGGTAGTTAGAGTTTGGAATACAGTTAAGATGCCCTGGTAACAAGGCTTTAGGGATCAGCTAGGAGAAACAAGTGGGCTTGATAGGATATGTTTTTGATATGTGTAGGCATATATTTTGGCACTGTTATTAAACATTTTGCTTTTATTATTGTGGAATTAAGTTGGTTAAGATTTTGAAGAAAGTTTCTTATGTGACAAAAGCTTTAGAGATGCACTATAAGTTGAATTTATCCCATTGAATTATTTCCTTTTTAGGGTCCTGGTTCTTACATCATGAATTATATAATGTACATTTTCTGGGCCTTGAGTTTTGCCTTTCTTGCAGTTTCCCTAGTAAAGATATTTGCTCCATATGCCTGTGGCTCTGGAATTCCAGAGGTGAGCCATAAATACTTTGGTATAATTAAATATTTAGTAATTGTTATGATGCTTGTTTTTTTGTCATTAACAGAGGAGAAAGTTGTTTTTCTGGAAAATTTTTTTTATATGAAAAGAATTATTAATTTAGAAATAAAAATTTACTGTCAGTCAATTATAGACAATCTTTGAAAAAAATTCTTCCCAGTAATCTTTTTGTGCATAAATACATTTTTCCCCCAAATAAATAAATTTTTTAAAAGAAACACATTTTAAAGGTTCATTTTTCTTTCATTCTTTTATTTGCCCCCATCAGTAATATAGGTTGCTAGATAAATTATTAGAAAATTTGAATAAGCACCAAATTCCCAGAAATATATCTTGTGATCTAAAGTTCCTTGATTGATTAATTGGTATTGTACTATAATAAAGTTACCTGATTTTAGGACACTTTTCTTTCTTCATAAAATTTTTATTAGATAATAATTCTTTAACTTGTCAAGTAATATCAATGACCATTTTCAATTTTAAAATAAAATAAATTTCAAAAGTAAAAAAAATTTATTGTAGTGAGTGAATAGTATAAAACTTCTCAGCCATAATTTGGAGGTGAATATGCCTACAATTGACTTGATATAAACTCGTTTATTTTCTTTCCTCGTTATATTTTATTGTACTTAAGCGATTACCAATTTTTCTAAGACATTTAAAAAAAACAAACAAATGACATTAAAGCTATATTAAAAAATATAAAGTAGTAATTTTATAGTATTTGACAGTTTTCATTCCATAGTTACTATACTTTGAGAAAGTGAATTTTTCTTCTTTCTAAACTTTCTATTGCTGTTTGAATGAAAGCTTCTAGAACAAATTGATATTCAAATCGTCAGCTGTTTATACACTTTTTATGACATTAATTAGAATCCCCACATTATAAGGTGTATCAGAGTTTAAATCCCTTAGGATTTTTAGTGCTTTATTTACTGGTGGACTAGTCACAGGAGAAGGGGGAGAGAGAGAGAGAGAGACAGAAAGACAGACAGACATGTGGAACATAATCTTCCTTCTGTTTCCCTGTGATTCTCATTTCTGTTCATCATTTTTTATTCCTTCCTGTCTCCTTTTGTGTGTGTGTATATAAATATTTATTTTGGAATACTTTTAGACAAGCATAAAAACTGCTAAGAAACAGCAAGTTTCTGCATAGGCCCCACCCCCACCCCCTTCGTTTCCTGTTAATTTCTTTCTGCCTTCTGAGCTTTATCCTCTGGCAAATGTTCTTTTGATCTTGCATGAGTGCTTGCTTTAAGGAATAGATATTTCCCTAGTGCTGTTGTTCACTTTATTGGCTTGTCTACTGTTTGGCTCAAAGTTGAGTCATAGGAATAGGTTCATTCAAGGTTTGAAAGGTCCACCTTTTGAAAAGTTCCACCTTTCAAAAATTCTTCTGATCTATCAGACCAGTAAGTCTGAACATTTCTATAATTTGGAGTTTGATTCACATTATGAAAATAAATTATTTGTATAGCTGACCCAGTATGCTTGTAATAGATTTACAGATTGTTTATTTTTTGTGACAGAAATAATAAAATTTGCTTTTTAATGGTTAGCTAATTATAATTTTTATAATTTGGGTCTCTGGTCACTTTAACAGACTGATACATAAATTTTATTTGTCAGATAGGGCTTGCTTTTTGTCTTTGGTTAGATAATAAAAAACTTTGCAGTTTAATTACAAGTAGCATAGTAATTAAAACTTTAAAGTGTGAATTATTCTCGAATAAGCTTAACATTTCAAGTAATTCTGTGATTAAAGCATGGTAATAACTTGATATATTACAAGAAAATCATGTGCTTCTTAAAGAAAATTAAGAGGACTTAATCTTTCCTCCATAGATTAAAACTATTTTGAGTGGATTCATCATCCGAGGTTACTTGGGAAAATGGACTTTAATGATTAAAACCATCACTTTAGTACTTGCCGTGGCATCAGGTTTGAGTTTAGGAAAAGAAGGTCCCCTGGTGCATGTTGCCTGTTGCTGTGGAAATATATTTTCCTACCTCTTTCCAAAGTACAGCACAAATGAAGCTAAAAAAAGGGAGGTAAGTGTATTTTATAGCTTATTTGACAGAAAAGACTTGGTTACAGATTTATATCAGTGAAGGATTTCATCGTAGATCAAGTTTACTGTTTACCTTTTAAGGATAAATTCTGTATTGAGAATAAATATTTCATTTGGAATTAGTTTCTGCCTCTTTTTTCTGTTTGGAATAAATCTGTAATGTCTTTCTAGAGCCCATCTCCAGTACTAAAAGTTTGCTCCTATATTTTAGAGAAGCTTGAGCCAAACTTCAGTTTAATTTCATTGAATTATTCCTGTTCACTGAAGTCTTACTGTTTGCTTTCATTTTGCCTTAAATTCTTGTTCTATTTGGAAAAAAACTGTTTTCTAATGGAATTTAGTTTATTGTTACTTATCATAATACTTAGTATTTTTAGGGTTGAGAAATCCTAATGGTGATGAATGCCAGTGGTTGCCTTTACGTGGTCTATAGAGAGCTCTCTATCCCATGGAGAAGTTCAGAGAACTTTAGGACCCTTGATATTTATATCAGCGATTCTCATTATAGTGCACTTGGGAAATCTTGTTCATTTTGATTGGTGGTAAAGAACAAGTCTCTTTTCCTTTTTCCCCCCCAGTGCAGCCTAAGACTTTTCATACATAATATAGCTCTTCACATGGTTTTTAGATTGCTCCAGATGTTTTATAGAAGGAAAATCAGGCTCCTCAATCCTACTGTGTTAAGAACTCAAAGCCTACCCCTTCCTATTTTTTTGATGTAAGTGTTTACTGATAGGTACTATAAGGATCTATGAATTTTTCCATATTAATTTTAACATTACATTTAATATTGAGAAGTCAGGGGCTAAAGGTCTCTGGTTCTAGAGCCGGAACCTTTACATTATATGCCTCATTGGAAAAAGTATATGATTTAAAAAGTATTAATTCTGCATTTGAATAATTTTAGTTTTAGCATTGAAATATTGACCTTCTGTTCTCTGTATTATTCTAAAATAGCATGGTAGCCTAATAATTTTGATCTCACTGGGACTGTGAATCAAAAAATTAGTGGAGAAAGATGGACAGTCTTTTGTTTGTAAATTCTCCAAAAGATTTACAGCCTCAGAAATCTGATGGAGCATTACCATGAATTAGAATTGACTCTGTGGCTGTGGATTATGTTCATAATAAAAATAATGAGCATTATTTCTTTTTTGTCCCCTCTTTTCATGTTATTTATTAGTATGAAAAACATGAACTAATAATAGTTACACATTGAAAACTTTTCCGACAAATTCTCTACATAATAGAGAATTTAAAGATAATGTGAGCATGTCATTGAGAGTCTGTGTATAGATAGTACCTTGATTAGATAATAAGTGAATGAATCATACAATATTCACTAGCAGGGAATGTATTGGGCCTTAGGGCAGTAATTCAGCAATAGCTGATCCCAACAGTACTTCAGTAAAGACCCAATTACTTTTCTCTTTTGTTCCTGGGTCTCATTTTTATCCTTAGCATATGTTCAGAACTGTTCCTGCTAATTATGGCTTCCATGATAAAAACAAAAAGGTACTATTCACTGAAAAGGGACCAACATTTCCTGTTGTAAAGTTCACAACAGTGACTTTCTTTTTTTTAAATTTTTCTATTTAGATTTTAATGAAAGTTTATAAAAAACTTGGATTTCCAATGTTCATTGTTGCACATTTTCCTCCCTGCCCCTCTGCCCCCTCCCACCCCTGCATTATTTCTTAGTTATGGTATATTTAGCACTGTGCCAGGTACTTTATTTTAAATTTTAATTTCACAGTGTTCCTACTAACAACAACAACAACAACAACAACATTTTCATTTAAAGACTAGGAAACTAAGACTTTCAAGAGAGTTAATGAAGCTTCCTAGGTTCACATAGCTAGTAAGAGGCAGAACTAATATTAGAATTCATTTGTTTTCTGACTGTAGGCTACAATGTGAGCTACTTCACTACTGTTGTTATTACTGAAATTGCTGTTGCTAGTACTACTCCTTCTACTCCTCTGTGGATATTTGTTAACATAAAAAGACTGTAGCATAGTAAGTTAGTGACTAATCAAAAAATCTAGCATTTGCTTCCCAAATAATTTTTCTATAATTTTATGGTAAGTTTATAATTTTTTTTTATCTTAAAATGTTAGGTTAATTTATAAGAGCTGCTCTGGGCAGTTATAATAATAATAATTATAAATAATTATAATAATATAAATATGATAATTATAATTTTTTTAGAGAGTTAAAAGCATTAAAATATATGTATGAGTTTTATCTGTTTATTGTGGTTGTATTGCTGTGGAATTAAGAATTTTGTTAAACAAATAGGTTCTGTTAGTAGAAGAAAAACAAAATAAAAAGTTACATATGTTCTGTTCTTAACCAGAAAAGCAAACTTCATTTTAAAGTCAGGTACAATTTATTGGAGACAAATCCTTATTTATTTCAAATTTAGCAAACTTTTATTAAGTGCTTGTTGGATGCCAAGTACTCTTCTGTGCACTTTATACATATGCACACAATTAATGCTTATGAGCTACGTAGTATTATCACATTCTGAGTTTGGAGAAAAGGAAACTGAGAAGTTAAATTACTTGCCAGAGTTACACAGCTGCTAAGTGGTAAAGCTAGGATTTCAACCAGGCTATCCTGTCGAGTCTGTTCCTTTTTAACCATGTACAATTTACTTGGATTAATTTTTCTTTCAGAAGTAGAAATACTGAACATTTGAGAAATGCTTTGAGTAGCCTCAAATATAATTTGTCGTTGTTATGTGCTCTTGAGTCGCTTGTGACTCATAGTGACCCTATGTACAAGATCCTTAAAGCCTGCTTTATCCTGTGCCAAACTCATTGTCTCTGACGCACCCACTCCCATTGCCCCATCACCGAACTGGTCCATCGCACTGAGGGTCTTCCTCTCCTACACTGTCCCTCTACTTTCCCAAACATGATGTCCACTCCAGGCACTGGTCCCTCTTTGCAACATACCCAAAGTATGTCAGATGGAACTTCCATATCCTTGCCTCCAAGGAGCAGTCTGCTTTCACCCTGTCTAGGACAAGCCTGTTTGTTCTCCTAGCAGTCCAATTCAATTCTCTTCTCCAGGACCTCAGCTTAAAGGCATCAGTTATCTTTCTATCATCTCTGGTCACTGTCCAGCTCTCCAATGCATATCATGCAATTGCAAAGACTCTGGTCCAGATTAGGCACACCATAGTCTCCAGAGGAAAGTAGTGAAAAGTACCAACATCTTCAGAACAATAATTGCAAATAAATGACTTTCCTATAAAATTCTTTGTGTTCATAGCTTCACACTGGTAGGAAATAGATCATAATCAAGCGACAAAATAGAGAGTTGTAAAATACTTTTAGAAAATTGTGGGTTTTACTCTGATTGTTAAAGTTCTGATTCTGATTGACAAGATGTAACTTGAAGTTAGCTATTATTTGGGCTTTCAGAATGAGACTCATTTTATTTGTAGTAGCACTATATTGAGAGGACTTGTTGGTTGAAGCAGCTTTATTTGGTTTGTTTGCGTGTCTGAAATTTAAATTCCGTTAGCTGTAATCCTCTTTCTAGGTGCTATCCGCTGCCTCTGCTGCGGGTGTTTCTGTAGCTTTTGGTGCGCCAATTGGAGGAGTTCTTTTTAGCCTGGAAGAGGTAGGTTATAAAAATTAAAGCAATTAAAATCCTATAGAATTTCCATTCCAAAATTTTTCCATTTTTTTGTACTGCTTATAGTAGATAAAGATTTTGCTTTTAAATGTCAAGATTTATTTTAACAAAATTGTTCATATTCTCTTTAATTTTATGTTTTGAGTTGGTCACAATGGCATAGTTTTACTCTCATCTTTGTGCCTCTTTTTTTCTTCCTTGCCGAATCACTTTTATTAATTCCTTATGAATTATGTTTTCTAGGCAAATAAGCCTTTATATTACTTTTCACTCTTTCTAAAATGAAACATGCTGTACTATGTATGTTACATACCATGAGAGAATTTTTCACAGATTATTCATGTATAAACATTAGTGATTATTTAGAATTTAACTTGACTTTAGTGATTTATTTAAAAATCAGCAGTAGGAATTTGAACTTACAGAAGATGGTTAAAGCTTGTAGGAGAAGGATAGACAGTTTCCTCCTGTGCAGTTTACTGCATCTGAAAACCTGCTGCAAAGTCAGCTATGGGTTAGTTCTGACTTAATGGTAAACAACAACAAAAATCCTATATTATAGCTTATTTTTATTTAAAAACATCAGGCAATTGAAAAATGATCTTTCAAACTTTTTTGTTTGTGATCATTTCTGATACATAGCTGGTGCTTGTTGTTTTTGCTGTGTACTGTCAAGTTGGAACCAACTCATAGCTGACTCTTCAGTGGGCCTTCAGAGGCAGTAGAACGCATGAGAAGAGATTGCCCTTCCTTCTTTTGCCAAACAGGTGGTTGGGTTCAGACCACCTGCTTTTGGGTTGGTAGCACAACTCTTTTCCCCTGAGCCCCTATAGCAGTCGCTGCTATTTAAGAAAATTATTTGAGTTACTTACGTGGAATATTTCATTTTTATTTTCTCTTACATACTTAAGACCATTTTCTTTTCTGATCTGTGAACACGTTTTGTTTACATTTGCTTTTTTCTCTTGTTCTATTTTTCTTTTCCTCTTTTCCATATAAAGGAGGAGACAAATGAAATAGAAATTAAATTCTTATAAACAAGATTTGGTGATTATATTCTAAACTACCATGATTGCATGATAAAGCTAATTTTGAATATAAAATGTTAAGTATTTTTAATAAGTAGATATCTATATTGATATTCTACGTTTAGGATAATGTGATAATCAAAGATAGTAAGTCATCATTATTTATGCTACTGTAATAAAACTGATTATATGTGAATTCTAGTTGCAGAAAAATTTAAAACTATTTACTTTTCAAAATTATATAAGGAACCGCTTATAAATTTGAAGTATTAATTTGCCTTTCCCTCTTCTTTTTTTAGGTTAGCTATTATTTTCCTCTCAAAACTTTATGGAGATCATTTTTTGCTGCTTTAGTGGCAGCCTTTGTTTTGAGATCCATCAATCCATTTGGTAATAGCCGCCTCGTCCTTTTTTATGTGGAGTATCATACACCATGGTACCTTTTTGAACTGTTTCCTTTTATTCTCCTAGGGGTATTTGGAGGGCTGTGGGGAGCCTTTTTCATTAGGGCAAATATTGCCTGGTGTCGTCGACGAAAATCCACTAAATTTGGAAAGTATCCTGTTCTTGAAGTCATTATTGTTGCAGCTATTACTGCTGTGATAGCCTTTCCCAACCCATACACTAGGCTCAACACCAGTGAGCTGATAAAGGAGCTTTTTACAGACTGTGGCCCCCTGGAATCCTCCTCTCTTTGTGACTACAGAAATGACATGAATGCCAGTAAAATTGTCGATGATATTCCTGATCGTCCAGCAGGCCTTGGAGTTTATTCAGCTATATGGCAGTTGTGCTTAGCACTCATATTTAAAATCATAATGACAGTGTTCACTTTTGGTATCAAGGTAAGTGCTAATATGAAGTGATATTTAAGTAGACTTAGAATGTTCAAATATTACTGATGGAATAAGGAAATGACATTTTCATTTAAAGGTGATTGTTTCATGGATGTAAGCTAAAAACATTATCTTTGTGTTTAATTTTAAGTAATGAAGAAATATGAGGTGGATTGATTCAGTGACTGGGGTAATTGGGATGGGAGTGTCGGAGACAGTGCGATTGGCACAGGACAGGACGGAGTTTAGGGCTGTTGTACATAGGGTCACTATGAGTCGCAGGCAACTCGAGGGCACATAACAACAACAACAACAATGAAGAAATATGGTATTGGCACATTTCTATTAGTTGCTGTGTAGGAAAAATGACCCTAAAGCTTCATAGCTTAGGAAAGCTTCTCCCTACCCCCTCCATCCTTTTTTCCCTTTTATATTGCTTCAGCAGTTTCAGAAGAGCTGGGCTGCGCTGCTTTTGCTTGGGGTGTCTTGTATATTTACCATCAGAGCTGGCTGGGTTTGATCATCTCAAAACCTTAATTATATGTCTTCATGATATGTCTAAAACCTGAGCAGAGAAGACTCACACAAATGAAATATAAACCTCTGTGTGTGTGTGTGTGTGTGTGTCTATGTGTGTCTGTCTCTGTGGTTTTTCTAGCATGGTGCCTTGAAAAACCCAAATAACAATGAAAAAAACCTGTTGCCATTGAGTCACATCTGTTTTCTAGTGACACTTTCTACTTCAGAATAGAGCCACAGTCCCTCTGTCTTATTTTGACTAATCTTATGAAAGCAGATGGCCGGGTATTTCTTCTGTGGTACCACTGGATGGGTTCAAACCATCAGTCTTTTTGGTTAATGGTCAGGAGAAAACTAATTGTGCCATTAGGTACTTACAGTGACCTCAAAGTCTTGAGTTTCTTACATGGTCCTGCAAGGCTCTCCAAAACACTTTTATAACTTGCTGACGGAGTCACATAGCATAACTATGACTGCCCCTCCTTCGTCCCCCAAGTAAAACAGTTGCAAAGACCGTTATTCAGAGGAAGAGACTTAATCCCTGACTGTTAATAGGGATGTATGCCAGAGAATGTGTGATTGTGTTTTAATACTACTTTGTTTTTTCTTGCAACAAATTTAGTAGCTTAAAGCTATACAGATCTGCTAAAATCAAGATGTTGACACAACTATGTTTCCTTCTGGAACTTTCACAGGGAATAAGCTTCTGTACCTTTTATCTGTTTTATTAACTATGCAAAGCCATTTGACTGTGTGGATTATAGCAAACCATAGTTAACATTGAGAAGAATAGGTATCCCATAACATTTAGTAATCCTTCTACAAAAGCTGTACCTAGACCAAGAAACTGTTGTCTGAACAGGGTAAGGGACCGCTGTATGGTTTAAAATCAAAAAAGGCATGTTTCAGGGATGTATCGTTTTCCCCTATCTATTCACTCTGTATGCTGAGCAAATGATTCAAGAAACTGGTCTCTGAAGAAGAATGTGGTACTGAGTTGGAGGAAGAGTCATCAGTGTATTATTCAGATTTTACAGCCTTGCTTGCTGAAAGTGGGGAGGACTTGAAATGTTTGCTGTAGAAGATCAAAGACTATAGTCTTCAATATTGTTTACATCTCAACATTAAAAAGTTAAAAATCTTTTCCACCAGGCTGATAAGCAGTATATTGCTAGATGGTGTCCTTGGCCCCAGCAGTTAAGAAATCCAAAGATGTGTTGCAGTGGGAAAGTCTGCTGTCAGAGACCTCTCAAAAGAAGAACAGTGATGTCAGTGTAAAGACTAAGATGTGTCTGATTCAGGTCATCGTCTTTTCAGTCACTTGTACAACTCAGAGTTGGACAGTGAGTAAGGATGATAGAAGAATCCATGCCTTTTGAGTTGTGATGTTGGAGAAGAGTACTGAATAACTCATGGACTGCCAAAAGAGCAAAAATAAGTCTTAGAGAAAGTGCAGCCCCATGGAGGCAAGGATGGCAAAGTTTTGTGTCACATACATAGGGCATCTTGTTAGGAGGGAGTATTCTTCGGAGAAGGACATTGTGCTTGGGAAGGTGAGGGTCAGTGAAGGAGAGGAAGACCTCAGTGTGCAATGTCTCAACTGTGCCAGGGATGATAAGGATGGTGCAAAATAGGACAGGTTTTGGTCTGTTGTTCATAGAGTTGCTATGAGTCATACTTGATTTAATGACAAAAACAAAACAAAGACTACTCACATTCCTTGCCTTTTGTGCCTCTTCTCTATCTTCCAGGCTCACAGTAGTTTTCATACCAACTCTAACTCTCTTGTCTTCCAGAGAACTTGTAAACATATTGAGCCCACCTAGACAATACAGGATAATCTCCCTATATTAAAATGAGTTAATTGGAAACTTTATCTGCAACCTTAAATTCCCTTGGTCATATAACCTAACATATTAATAGGTCACTAGGATTAGACCATAGACCTTTTTTTTTAAAAGTCATATGGCCTACCATAGAGGTTTTAAAAATTCACCTTTGGACCATGGATTTTTGCATCCATTTTCAAAACCTGTAACTATTATCTCAACTGACAAATTCATATAATTTTACTGATAAGGATCTATATCAGAGAATGTAAAATTTTCAGACTGCCTTGAAAATATCTTTGAAGTTTTAGCCTTAGGCACCGTGACCATAACCTGGTAGATTCCAACAGAGAAACCAAGGATAGACATTGAGTGGTTGTGCTTATAAGCCTTTCCTTTCTACCAGTAATTCCACTTTGTTAGGAGTGGGAAATTGTGTGATAACATTTTTAGATTGACAAAAAAGTCAGGCATAGTACTAGGAACCATTTTTAATATGTGAGTGGACAACAAATGTTAAATTGTTTATTCAATTACGTATTCCTGGTTGCAGTGGTTAAGTGCTGGGCTGGTAACAAAAGGGCTGGCATTTTGAACTCTCCAGCTGTCCATGGAATAAAGTCGGCTTCTGTAAGAAGATAGCCTTGGAATCCCTATGGGGCAGTTCTGCTGTTTGTTATACTAGTCATTATGAGTAAGAACCTACTTGACAGCAACTGGTTTGGCATGGATATAAAGAATATTTGGAGACAGAGAAAATAAATTATATGAATAATGTCAGAATCTTCTACTTTAAACCAGTTTAGATTTTACCGCCTTGTTATTTGAGCTGAAACAGTAATAACAGAACCTCTCATACCAATAATCAAATTACCTTGTCTTGCACAAACCAACCTACCAGCCAACTGTCCAGTTAATTCCTTAAGCGTTCAAAGAAAGAGGTAAAAAAAAAAAAGAAGAAATACAAAGGTGATTAACCTTGTAGTGGTTCCTCTTAGGTCTGTGATAATTCGTTGACTAAGCCTGCTGGTACCCTGGCACATTCAAACAGAAAAAGAAGTTACCAGTGAATGGTTGTGTAAGCTTTTTCTTTCTGCCAAAATTCTAACCAGTCTAACAGTGGGTAACTTTATTCTGTTTATCAAAAGACTTCATACCAATTCATAATGATTGCATAATTGTCATAAAGTACACACACACACACACACACACACACACACACACAACTGTCTAATGAGCCAGAAACAGGACATGGGGACACAGGGCTGTTAAGTGTCTCTCTGAAAAGGCCAGAGAGTAAAAATAGCACAACCTCTCAACCCTCCACCCTCAAAGCAGAAAGCAGACGTTGTAATTCACCCCATGGTGCCTCTCTAGCCAAGCCAGTAGCAAGAGTTAGATGGTAATTGTTGACTCAGAGTTACGAGACCAAGAATGGAGGTTTTTTTGGAAGTAAGTAGGAGGTTAGGGGAAGCAAAGAATATCCACAATGTGTGTCAAGGTTTAGTAGATGTCCCGATTCTGCTTAGCAGCACATATTCAAGAAGCCTCTGGTTCTTCAATCATCCAGCAAGGTTTGCCGCTGAACAAGTCACCTTCTCCTTCAAGCATCTGGCGAGAACAGCACAACCTTTGACTATGGCCAGCACGAACACAGGAAGCCAGCCGCAGGTCACACCTTGCCACAGTTTTTTTCACAGCAGTGTCACAGTCTCTCTGCCACCATCACCAGACTCTTGCTCCAGTCCCCTTCAAGTCTTGTTGTCATGTGGTACACACTCTTTCTTCTAGCCAAACAGCTGTTGATAATTTGGAAGACCATGTGTCTGCTGGAGACCAAAGGGGAAAAAGATAATGACTTAAAAAAGGGCCAACTTTACGCTGACACTGCAATTACACGATAACCAAATCTTTGTGGTATTTTGATCTGAGCATCAAAAAAACAGTTATGCTCCATTTAATGATAATGGCTGGCTGTAATGCTATGAATAGATGTTGCTCTCTAGAGGCTCATCAATAATTTTGTTTTCGTAAAGTCCTGTTATATCTCTTCCTCATGAAAATTTTAGGGTCCTGATGTGAGAAATTGGATTATTGGCAAGACTCTGTAGAGTAATATTAATTCATAACTACCATTGTCCTCTGATCAGCCCACAACCTATGAGCAGGACAAAGCTCTTTCCTATTTGTATCAAATTCTATAAGCAATACATCTGATTGTGGAACTATTTTGAACCAGTTTGAAGCTCTGGTTTTCATCATATTGATTGTTGGTCCCTTTGTGAGGATTTTAATTTTGTTAAAGTGTAACCTGTACTGAAGTCATAATGTTTTATTTCTGTCAGTAAGGACTTCACCTTCAACAGACAAGATTGTATCACTAACTTATCACAGGTTGTTAGTGAATCTTGACATTGTGCACTTTTTTTTTTTTTTTTAAATTTTTTATTTTTGTGTGAGTGTACCGTCAAATCAGATCTGACTGGTACAGGAGGAGATTGTCCCTCCTTTTCCCGGCAGAGCATCTGGTGGATTCGAACCTTGTGCCTCTGGGATTGTAGTTGCAGCTCCTTGCCACTAGGCCACCAGAGCTCCCCGACATTGTGCACTCTATAGTGCACCTTTTTTAACTGTTTTCTCATCAGACTGAACAAGTATGGTGAATGCATACAACTCTGATAGACGCTTTTCCTCACTCTAAGCCACACAGTTTTAGCCCTTGTTCTGTTTGAAGAACTGCTTCTTGCTCTATGTAAAAGTTCTACAATGAGCAGTTCAGTAATTCCCATTCTTCACAGTGTTATTTATAATTTGTTACAGCCCACACAATCCAAAACTTTTGCATAGTTAGTAATTTGCAGTATTTTCTACTTTTAGCTGAGCCCTAACTAATGACAGCAGTGTTAACCTTCATTCCATGTCCTCTTCTGAATCCAGCATAAATTTCTGGCAGTTTCATGTGAAACTGTTCAATTGTAGTTGAATTATTTTCAGCAACTGTGATTGAGTTATCTTAAGAAAGACTTGACTTTTATGTGATATAAATAATACTGTTCTATCCTTAATTCTTTTGGATCGCTTTACTTTGGAATGGGCACAAATACAGATCTCTTCTGTGGTTAACTGGGCCTTCTCAATTCTTGGCATAGATGAGGCAGTGCGTCAGCATTGCATACATTTGTCGAAACATGTAAATTGCTATTTTTCCAATTCCTGGAGCCTTGTTTTACCATTGCCTTCACTTCTGCTTAGACCTCTTCCTTCAGTATTTTCTATTCTTGATTGTATGTAACCTCCTCAAATAGTTCAGTGGTGACCAGTCCTTTTTGCTGTAGTCACTATATTTCTTCCTTGCCCTGTTGATGCATCTTGCACTGCTCAGTGTTTTGCTCATAGAATTCTTCCCTATTACAATTTAGAGTTTGAATTATTTTTCAGTTCTTTCAGCTTGTAACATGCTATGAATGTTTTTTCCTTTTGGTTTTTTAATTCCAAGTCTTTGCACGTTTCATTATAATACCTTGTATTATTGAGCTACTCTTGGAAATATTTTGTGAAGCCATTTTACTTCATCATTTCTTAAATTTGCTTTAGCTATTCTACATTCGATTGATCTTCAACTGTAAAAGTTGGTAAAAGTCTTCTATTTCCTCTGTGCCTCTGGTTGTTGGTGCATATATCTGAATGATAGTTGTATTCACTGGCCTTCCATGTATGAGTATGGATATTATC